GGATTGCTCTACCTCTGGCCATAAGCCCTGTCCTTCAGAGGAACAAAAACAGGAAGGGAGCAGAGGCCTCGGGAGGCTTGACATGGTCCTAGGAGTCTAGGTGAAGCCCTGATGCCTGGCCAGCCTAAGACCCAAGACGGAGAGGAAAAAGCAGGTGTGCCAGGGGTCAGTGAAAGGACATGGTGTTTGGGAAGAGACACTCACACTCCCCACTCAAAAATCAGACAAACGCCTGGCTTCAAATCCTGACTCCGATCAACATTTCTGAAGGCCACACAGATGCTATTTAATCTCTCTGAGCCTCGGTTTCCATAGTCAAAACAGTTCTCCTAATTTCTACTGCAAGAGGACTGCTGGGCATTTTGCCCCAGACGTTACGTCCGGCTGCATCTCCCCACCCTTCAATCTCCCAGGATCAGCCCATTATTCATACAGGAAAAATATAACCAGAAATCAATCACATTCAGTCACTTTCCCCCCAAAATCTGGGTTTCTCAGACTATTCTGAGGCTGAGCCGCACAAGCTGATTCACATTTACTTAACTGTGTTAAATAATAGGCCAGGCTGATTCCTGGATTTAGCATATGCATGTACACAGCAGCTACTCAATACGTATTTTTCAATGAATGAATCAAATGACAAGATGGCTTGTGTCTATATTGATCTTACTAATCAAGTCAGATCAACTAAAATCCCATTTCTCACAATCAGTACATGTTGCCAGGCACTAATTCACCTTGTGCTTGGATACTGCAGACAGACATGTAGCAAGAAAACAGACTGAGACCATTATAAGGCCGAAGACTTTGACATGTTCCTTTCTGATAGAGGCCATGGGGAGAATGTGCAAGTGGGATATTTTCTTAATGTTTATTTCTTCTTTGACAGAGAGAGAGAGAGACAGAGAGAGAGAGAGAGAGAGACAGAGAGCATGCATGTGTGCACAAGTGGGGGAGGGGCAAAGAGACAGAGGGAGACTCAGAATCCAAAGCAGGCTCCAGGCTCTGAGCTGTCAGCCCAGAGCCTGACGTGGGGCTCAACCCCCCAGACCTTGAGATCATGACCTGAGCTGAAGTCAAACACTCAAACACATGAGCCACCCAGGCGCCCCAGTGTGCAGTGGGATATTAAATCTCTTTATTTATTAATTTTTTTTTTTGGAGATTACCAAAGTCAGCGCCTCCAGGGCTTATACTTTCACAAACCAAAGGGACTTTTCAAAATAGGACAACTACTCAGCAAAAACCAAAAATTAAAAATTAATCTTCATTCCATATGTGGGCTGCCACCAGATTTTGTAAGGATGTTTAGCAGAAGTATTCCTCTTTCTGCCTTGCTCCATAAACACTGAACAAGGGAAAACATTGCCCAAGACTGAGATTTGGCAAAGGAATCTGATGAAACCCATCTGTTCTGTGCCATAGGGTGATGTCCCTGAAGGCTACTGGTGACTGGATGATTATCTAGTTTTCGGCTGTCCTACCTCAGTTTCCTGCAAAACACGGTTTCTTATTACTCACACATTCTTGTCCACCCAGCAGTAGCATCTCAAGGCAAAAAGGGACTCTAACTCTTTAGGGTCCCACACAGGTACCCTTTGGCCTAAGAAAACACACCTGCTAAAGCAAACCCACAGAAAGGAAAACGAAGAGCCAGTTAGTTATTCTCTTTGCAAAAGAAGTATTTTTTTCTTATGTTTTTTCAAGGGTTCTTTTTTTTTTCTTTCATTAGCTACATTTAACAGATGGAAAAACTGAGGCTTGGAAATATTAAGGAATTTCACCAATTTTACACCGAAAAAGGTGGAGCCGTGGGTTTTTTAAATGCCCTTACAATGGACTTATTTTCTTAAATGTGACTAGCACACAAATCAGCAAGTGCCCCTGATTGGGCAGAGGGCGGGATGCCTGAACAAGAGGTAGGATCAACGTGGCTTGCTTACAAAACACAGCACGCTTGCAAAGAGCACGGGACTGAAGTCAGAAGGTCTGGGTCCTAGTCCCAGCCGAGTCACTAATGAGCTATGGGATGGAGGCAAGTCATTTAACTTCTTTGGTTTTAGTTTCCTCACACAGAGATGGAGAATCATTGCTAAAAGCAAGCATTACCTACATACAAGGTTAACGGGGAAATGAAATGAATATGGAAGCGTTAGACACTATGAAGACATAGCCAGAATACTTGTGTTATATATATGTATGTATATATATGTATACACATATATATACATACATACACACACACACACACACACACACACACACAGGTGTGAAAATAAGAATCACCTAGAAAATCTCCTGCATCCATTCTTGCCCACACTAAATGTATTTCCTCTTGCTAATGAAGGCATCAATTGGATGGTGAGAGATTTCTGTGAATCAGGATGAACACACAGCCCTTGGAGAATGTGCACTGCTGTTCTGAGGACATGTGAGCCACTCCGGAACAGCCAGCCATCTTTTGGTACCCTAGGACAGCCACACAGGCAAATGGATCCACTCCAGCTCTACAGGGATCAAGCCCTAAGCCCATTACTATGTGTTTACCAGATGCTAACAAGGTGGTACGAGTGCCGAGAACGCTCCGAACACATTGTGAACATGCAAAAGAAACCAAGACACAGGACAACACAGGGGGCCAAATGTGAGATATGTGATGAGGACCTAGGTCACCGCCCTGGCTACTTCTACACCCTACTAGGTCTGGGTAAGCTCTAGCACTTTCACTTGAGGACAACAATTAAATGTCTTCAACAAATCATCATCCTTCTAGGACAAACCCTAACCCCATGCTGGATTCGACTTGCTAGCGCTTTCCCTGGCTGACCCAGGTCCACACTGCAGAGCAGAGCCCTCTCTGAGGCCAGCTGTCCCCTGCTCTCTCTCCCATTTTCTAGCCTTCACATTCACCTGTTCTAAAAGCGGAATAAGCCCTTTAACTCTGGCCAGAAAGAACATCGTACGTTGGACAACTATAGGGATGGTCAGAACAATCCAAGAAAACATAATACCTGGAAGGCTCTGCATGGATTCACTGGCCTTGTCAGAAAAGCCAGTAAGGGGGAGGTGGTGCTTTACAGACTAAACCAGGGGGCAGCTGATCACCCAGCACATAGTACAATGGGACTCAAACTTCAGTGAGCATCGGAACCACCAGGAGGATGTGTGAACACACAGAAACCCAGAGTTTCTGAGTCAGTAGCTGACGCTGATGCTGGTCCAGACAGCACACTTTAAAAACCACTGTCACAGTAAATGGACAAGAGCTGCCCGATCTGTCACTCCCCCTGGGCAATTTCAGATCTTGATTCATCCCCCCAAACTGAGCCTTAAGAAAACTGAGGAGGGGCGCCTGGGTGGCTCAGTCGGTTGGGCGTCCGACTTCGGCTCAGGTCATGATCTCGCGGTCCGTGAGTTCAAGCCCCGCGTCAGGCTCTGTGCTGACAGCTCAGAGCCTGGAGCCTGTTTCAGATTCTGTGTCTCCCTCGCTCTCTGACCTTCCCCCGTTCATGCTCTGTTTCTCTCTGTCGCAAAAATGAATAAACGTCAAAAAAAAATTTTTTAAAAAAAAAGAAAACTGAGGATAAGAATTAAACAGCCATCCGTCCTTTACCCTCCCTTCCCCTTTCCCATACATGCACCCAAGTTGCTATGGATGAAGAGAAACAACTATCAAGCCATTCCTGATAAATATCACCCAGCATCAAGTTCAGTTCTCACCTGTGAACAAGATGATTCTGCAAAAGGAGTGAGTTACAGTGCAAAACAGAGGACACAGCAGCGCAGGCAGAGTGCTGGGGAGCTCTCCCGGTCCAGTTCTCTGACCTGGTGCGTGATCCCTCAGTCCTGTGATCAGAGTGTGCCACGGGGACAGTGCCAGGGAAACGGTGTGACCTGGTTTTCTCCTCACTCATTTATCCTGATGCTCTGCCACAATGCACTGTGATTGCCCGCTGAGAACTCACTTCGCATCACTAAACTGCTGCCACTGAACTGTCAGGCTCACCAACAATCCAGTGCAAAGGAAAGTAGCTAGTGGCCACAGACACACTACATGTCTGTCTGGTGGGTGGCAGGGCGTAATCCCTCAACACCAGGACCAGAGGATTTCTGGCCAAGAAGAGACCATTAAAGATATTTCTTTCCTTCCCCAAGCTGATTACATTATACACCACACTGTTTTACTAACAGCAGGAGTTACTGCTACAATAATATTGTTTTGTTTTACAGGGGGTTAATGGAAGCTCCTACAGAAAGCAGTGTTGTGAATAATGTAAACACGCTGCGATAAGAGCCCATCCTACAAGTCTCTTCTCCTGTGGTTCAAAATGGGAAAATCTGGCCAACAGTCACCACAGGTCAGCCTGACCTTTCCTGGCTATGGGACAGGAGAGGTTACATACATTTGGGGTTGCAGTTGTGGGCCTGAACACCAACTTCAGGCTAAATAAGGAAAAAGAATGAGGAGTGATTCATTCACAGCATTTTGGTGAATATATAGCGTGTATGTGTTTGCAAATACCTGGCCTTTAAGTTGATTTTGTGCACACAAATAGGCATATTTGGTGAAACAAAAGTGACTTTGTGTCTCATTTTTAAAAAAATCCCAACTAGCTCTTTCTCATATGCAAAACTGTGCAACGCTTCCCAGGTTCTGAGTGTCTGATCTGGTGTAAACCCCATGAAGTCCTCTAAGTCCAACAACATTTTCCAGAACAATAACACCAACACAATCTCCACTTACCCCAAAATTATGAATTGATCTCAGATACACCAGGTTTAAGACATGGGCCACAAGCCCAGATAGCTGTATTCAGAAAATTCTGGTGCAGGAGAGAGAGCTCAGCTGCAGGTGACAATGTTGGTTGGGGCCTCAAGAACACTGATTAAATAATCTTGCCCTCTCCCTACCCCCCAAAAGTCCACTCATTTGCGTGTACAGATGAGGCCACGCAAGAACTGTCTTCACACCCCACCCCCTCCATGGTTCCTGTCCTCACCTGTTTTCCAGGAGTGTCATGCACACCACTTCTCGCACCCCGGGGTTGTTGGCCTTCTCCACTGAGCAGCCCTGCAAGTTCCAGGTGGCCAGCCTCAGCACCGGCCGCCCATCCCTTGTGCCTCCAAAGGCCTCCACGGAAGGACGAGTGGAGATAATCTGGGTGGGCCCCCCTGGTGGGAGGTCCAGGTCCTCACTCTGCAGGCTCAGCGAGGTTGGGCTGGGGTGAGGCTTGGCGGTGAAGGTCAGGCCCCCATTGGTGTGGGTCGAGGGGGGCCTGGACCGCTCCGCGAACACCTGGTGCCGGATCCTGTCGAGGAAGGCGGCGTTGATACCGCCCATCCTCACCAGGTCCTCAACGCTGCGGAAGGGCCCATGCTCGCGGCGGTAGTCCACGATGTTCACAGCCATCTTCTCCGTGAGGCCTCGTATGCTCATGAGCTGAGCAGGGGTGGCCGTGTTGATGTTGACCCGTGGGGTGAGGGGCACAGTGGTGGCAAGGTGGTGAGGCTGCTGCTCGGCCAGCAGGTCCCGCCGCAGAGAACTGGGAGAGTGCTGCGCGGAGCTGCCCTTGCTGCTCACGCAGATCTCAAACTTGACCTGCTCCAGTTTGGTGGCACCCACGCCGCTGACCAGCGCCAGGTCCTCCACCTTTTTGAAGCCACCAATGTACTCGCGGTACTCCACGATGCTGCGTGCCACCGCACGCGTCACACCAGGCAGGGTCATCAGCTCCTCCTCTGTGGCCGTGTTGATGTTGAGCCGCTCCTGATTCACCAGGATGTTGCTGAAGTTGCAGGCCGCGCTGAACTTGCGGCTATGGGATAGATCCGAGGGGTCCCGCGGTATGGAGCGGTGGCAGCCCAGGGTGCTCCCCATGCCGGCCAGGGTCAGTGGCCCAGGGAGGCCTCACCACCGCAGAAGAACTCTCTGGCTAGGGAGGAAGCCCAACAAACCTTACAGGCACAGAAGGAGGGAAGGTGCACGATGCAGGGAATGAAACGGTTACCAAAGACAAACACTAACTCTCCATGCCCAGGGTGTCCAAAAGTACCTTTCACTTGGCCACCTGGAAAACAAATTAATAAACACACAAATCGATTGGATCAGTTAATCAGTTTGCATTAGCATTCCCTACCTAGAGCAGGAGTTCTTAACCAGGAGTCTCAGGCTAATGGCTGTCCGTGAACCCCTGAACACACAGCGAGGCTGGCCCATATGGATTTCCCTCTGAAGAGGTCTGGTTTTTATCACATTCGGGTCCAAAAAGGCTATGAGCTTCTTCTCTTGGAAAGAGACCTATCCTCATCAGCCCACACCTCTGATCCCTGCCTCTACTCTCCTCTCACCACCATCCCCCCTTAGGTCGCCCCTACCAGGGCTCGGGCAGCAGAGAGGGTGTATCTCCCACGCCCACCCCGCCGCCGGACATTCAGCACCACCTGCAACTTGGGAATCCCGTCCTCACTAGTATAGGCACCAAGAAGGGGTTTACGGACCCCCACCAGACCCGCCGCCAGTCCCCGCGCCCCACCTCTCCGCTGCTCCCCCGGGGCGTCCTTCCACCTGCGGCTCGGAAGCCTGAGCTCAACCCGGGACTGCGCGGGCCCCCTGCCTCCAGTTCTGGTGCCCGCGCAGGTGTGGGTCAGTGGCTGGGCCGCCTCGAGCCGCGCGTCCCGGCTCTTTCTGCGGGAGAAACTCTTAGAGTCGCTCTCCCAGAGCCAGCAAGAGCTGCAGGGCTGCGCGGAGGCGGCAGCGGCGGTGAAATCCGGCCGCCGAGGCTGCACCAGGACTTGCGGCGTCGCCGCAGTTGCGTTGATGGAAGCAAAAAGTCCTGCGCCCGACTCGGACGCGGGATCCGCCAGGACCGCGTCGGTGCCGAGTACCAAAGCCACGGCTCCAGTTCGCCGTCCGTGTCAAAGCCAAAGTCCTGGCGGCTCGGCCCGCGCCTCCGCCGGCACCACGGCCACGCCTCCCCCCGCGCGGCAACTCCTCCGGGGACTCCAGAGGGAACGTGGAGGCGGGGCCGAGCGCCAGACCAGAGCCCGGGAGAGCGGAACCAGAGAGCGTTGGGGCGGGGCCCTGGAGTGCGGGGGGCGGGGCCACGGAGCGCGGGGGCGGGGCCAGAACGCGAGAGGGTGGAGTGCGGGGCTGGCAAATCTGAGAGGCGGGGCCCTGCTGTGCGGGGGGAGGGCCCCGAGCGCGTGGGCGTGGAGATGGAATGCAGGAGCGCAGGGGCGGGGCCATGGCGGAAGGGGGCGGGCCACGGAGGCGCGGAGGCGGGACTTAGGGACTGAATGGGCGGGGCCGATATCGCTGCTGCAGTGTCTGGTCCTGAGGAGCCTGCCCTGGGGCCTGCAGCTCCTGAGTGGAGATACTACCAAAGACTTAAGGCTATATGTGTGAGGTGGAGAGTGTTTGGTCTTGACCGAGGCGAGACCTGCCGAGCTGCTTTTCCGCAGGAGGAGCCCGAAAGAAGAGAAGGCGCCCATGGGCGCAAATACTACCAGGCCACCAGTCTGAGTTTAGATCATCTTTGGGGCGTGGCTTAAGGTCCGGGCCCTCCAAGTTGTGGGGT